TTGTCAAACTCCCATGCTTTTTGGAATAACTATCTGAGGATGAATATCTGATCTATCGTCGATCTTCCTGGTCTAAATCCTCTCTGATAGTTACCTAAGATTTCTTCTACTTTACCTTTTAACATTGATAGGATGCAGTTTGAAAGAACCTTGTATGTTACGTTTAGAATAGAATATAATTGTTGCAGTCTTGTTTGTTTCCTTTCTTGTGTATTGGACATATCACCGATGTCCTCTATTCTACAGGTGAAAATCCATTCTAAAGCTTTAAGTCTTGCCCCCTATCTAGTGCTTGTTTCAGCTCCTTTTTGTAATTTTCTGAGTTTATATGGACCAATATTAGTATTATTATAATTTTCACGAGTCTAAATATTCATCCGTTTGTGAGAACTACCAAAAAAAGTAGCTAAACGATTTAAAAACCCAAAAAGATTTTTTAGAATCAATATTTTTACAAATATCTGTTATACATAAATTTAAAATGTAACTATAATTTCAAATATATATACAGAATTTTTATTCTGAGATTTAATAAAAGACTGTAATCCATTAAATTGGCCACTCATATTACTTGCGCCGTCGAATGATTCACCTATTACATTTTTAAATTCTAATCCATGTTTTAAAAAACAACATTTTAGTAAATTGTATAAATCTTTTCCAGTTGAACTTCTAACTTGAACAACTGCAAAAAGCCTTTCTCTTATATCATCATTTGCACAATAGCGGACACATATTGAGGCTTGATCAATGACGCCAATTTCTTGCGTATTATCTACTTGTATTCTAAATTTTTGTTGGCCAATTTCATTTTTTATTTTGTTTCTTAAAGACAACAAAATTCCATGAATCACTTTATCAACTGTTGTTTTGGAAAGAAAGGTATCCAAATATCCTCGACCTTTTGAGTTATTATTTTAGTTATAATTTATTATCCTGCTTAAGTTTAACTTTCCTGTTTTTACTCTTTTTTATAGATTGCTGTAAATGTTCATTCAATATCGAATCTCGTTGAACTACAAATTTTATAATTTCAAGAAAATTACCTTTATTTGATACTACGTCATTAAAATTTGCTAACATTTCATTGGGTGTTGATCCTCTGTAGGGTAAATTTTGACGTCCAATGAACTTAACTATATCAAAAACTTGTTTTAGAGTGTGGATATTATTTTCTATCTCTTTTTTTCTTGCAATAACAAGATTTCGATTGATTGAATATTCAATTGACATTTCATTTGATACTCAAAAATAGTTTTCAGCTGCATTAGAGTGAATACGTGAAGTTTCATGATGTACAATTGCTGAGTATACATTTTTAAAATTGGTACAGCCTTCCTCAAAAGAAAAATTACTAGTTGCTGTATTAATTCCAAACGCAATACAAATAGAACAAAACATAGCATCTAAGCCATTTGAATTTTTTAAAATTGATAACCACTTCCTATGAATTTTTTTTTCAAGAATATATATATATTACTACTATAATACTACTTTATTGAAATCAATAACAATACTTCCTAATACTGTTGGTTGAATTTGATTTTTATTTACAAAATCTACTTTTTTAGAAATGGAACATCCAATAGCTAATTTAAAATTACTGAAATTAGTTTCTATAATTGTTTCTTGGTCTACTACAACAGAGTTAGTATCACTAGGTAAGCCATTTACATCATCAGGAATATCAGTATTATCAAAAATATAGTCATCACCATTATTATAGCCAAGTTCACTCTATAAAGTATTAATTTATAACGATAATTAATTTAAATGTTGTATAAGAATTATTATTGTTGTATTTTGTACAAAATATTGTCTATAATTATCAAATATTTTAAATTTGAACTAAAAGTATATCAATAAATTACTAAAATAAAAATTAACTTTTACCTTTTCTTTTTTTTTCTGAACACTCACTAATAATATAAAGAATTTCGTTCTCTGTTAAGCCAGTAACATTAATCCCAATATCTAATTCAAGACTTTTTTCATCACTTTCATTGAAAGTATAACCATCATCATTGCAATCAAGTTCTCTCTAGAAAAGTTTTTCCCAATATTATTAGACAGTAATATAATAATATAAAAAATGTTATAAGAAACATTTTTATAATACGAAATCAATAAAAAAAAAAAGAGCAGGGAGTCACGTGAGATACAGTGACGGTAAATTATATGAATTTTATTTGAAACCAGTTGTAAATAATGATTTTCTTTTCTCTTTGGTTTATCATTATTTAAACATTTTTCATAAATTATTTTATATACCTATTTAATAATATTTTGTTTATTTCATATTATTAAATGAGTTAAATTTGTAAAAAACATTATTTATTACTACCATAGCCCTTAAAAATATTTCAAATACTTGATATAAGTATTAAGTGACTTATAACATATAGGTTGTGATTTTACCTTCCAAGTTACAGAAACAAATACAGATTAAAAGTAATAAGTATACAATAATAATAATAATAATAGTCTATTATTAGTTTCTCGACCAGTTGGTTGCATGTTAATGACGAAAAGAAATATTTTATTTGTTAGTTAAATAAAAATGTTATAATTTTATTGTTCGATGACCGGCCCAAATTTCACAATTTAAAACGTAGGAGATTTCCCCATAGCTCCCCTGGCCAGTCAGCCACTGACTACCCACCTACCTCGGAAAATCGGGTAGAGGTGGAAAAAGTTATCGGAACCGGTGGCAACTTACCGACCGATCGCCTCAAATCAACAACATTTTGCCCATGACCGTCGAGGAAGCACATTGTCCTTGTTCGTTTTTCTTTTCTCCACCGTCACTAAAAGACCAACAATGCCGTCCAACACATTATTTTTATAATTCATTTGAACAAAAAATAAAATTTGGTCATCGTATTTTTTTGGTTTCTTTTTTTTTTACTTTTGACTAACCGCAACTCAACTGTGACCGACCACCTCACCGAGGAAAAATCACCAACAAATTGAGGCCTTTTAAAGTGACTTCAATAACAACAGTTGAAGGTGATTACTAGGGAATGGATTTTATTGTAAATACATATTTTTATTGGAATGAGATATTTTTAATCTGATAAAAAATGTGCAAGATTCAGATCATACTTATTAAAATAAGCTCAATTTTATTTTACATATTCGGGTAAAAATATATATATTCACATATTTTGTAAATAACTGAATATTTTGTAAATATTTGGGTATTTTTGGTTATTTTCGTCAATTTACAACGACGTCAAAGATTATTTGCCTTGAATGACAATCACATACTCTATGGTATATACGCTGTCGATGAAAGCCTAATATAATAATATTTGTAATTTTTAATGACGATAAACATTATCTACATTCTCTAAATGGACTTACATACGTACTTTATACACTGCTATCGTATTATACACTGTGGGTACGTAAGCGGATTTTTTACCGATATCACCAGAAACTTTCGTGAATGATAGTTGTGATAGTTACATCCTTAAATTGTCTTTACCCAATAATTCAGATGAAGAGAATAACAAGTTTGTAAATTTCTGTTAAAATTATTATATCAGGGTTTGAAATCGAAAATATTTTCCCCGATTTTGATTATGGTTTCGGTTATCGCTATTTATTTTTTCCAATTTCAATTTCGGTTTAGATTGCCAGTAATGACTAATGACTAATTTTTTTCGATTTTGTTTTCAGTTTCAATATCGATTTCAGTTTTAACTGGTATTCAAAATCGGTTTCAAGCCCTGAATTATATGTCCAAAGGGTTTTTGAATAAATATTATATGGTATGGTTAATATTTACAATGCTTGGAACTAAGTACCTATATTTGTTTATTGTAGTACAAAATAAATTTACATAGTTGCGATTTATTTCAATTTGTCTTTATTATTTTAGACATTTTAGTGGTCGAAGAATTATTAATGTTGACTACTTTTTGAATAGTTAACAATCAATTAAACACGAACCATTCAATTTTAGTATTCAAAATCTTGTCTTTAAATCAGAAATAAAAAAGGGCTTTTTTTCTGAATTTCATTTTCAATGCAAACTTATGCAAAAAAAAAAGAAGTAATATTTTCCGAACCACCAGACATAAGTCAATCTTTGTTTATTAACACTGCAATTGTTACTGCAACAGTAAATACTGGTCAAGGATTTACAAACTTAGAACAATTTTAATCCATATTAGATATGTCATGTATGAGTAATAAATCTTATCAAAAATACCATCAGCTTTTATGCAAACAAACTCAAAATACAGTGTGGGAATCTATTGAGATGACTGGCATGGAAGAAGCAAAACTTGCTATTGAAAACGGTGACATAAATAGTAATGGTATTCCTATGATTACTGTTGTGGCAGATGGCGCCTGGTCGAAACGATCTTATAAACGTAATTACAACGCAACATCTAGTGTCAATATTAAGATATAGAGTATTCCAATGCACAATATGATTTACCACAAACTTATTGGGGATGGAGATTCTAGTGTGTTGAAAAAAATAATGTTAGCCAAACCCTATGATAATAACTTAGATGTAAAAAAGATTGAATATGCCGATCACATACTCCGAAATTATCTAAATAGACTAGTAAATATAGTACCTAAACGTAAGAGCTCAGCTAGTGTTGTACCAGGATTACTAAGAACAAACTTAAAATATAAGCGATTAAAACTGAGGCAATCATTTTTTAGTTAATTTGTTACTTTAAAAAATTTCTACTATTTATTCAATATCTGTTACTAGTTCTACTGTAACAAACGCTATTAAACATCGTATGCAAATGGATTGTCCTATAAATTATAAAGTTGCACTTTGAAAAGGATACATAGATAATGGACCATATCATGTTTTTGGTTGTCATGATAAATGTGCTAGTTCTTTAAAAGTCAAATTTTAATTGATTTATAAATTATGAACTAAAAATTAAAAATAACATTTTTTAATTTTTAGTTATTTTTATTCTGGAGTCGTCAAATCAGGTGAAATGAATTTAATTCCTGAAATGGACCAATGTGGTCTATGGCAAGATATAATTTCAACAAAAAATCTTGTTGCTCACCATAGTGAAAGTTTAATTTGTTTTGTAAACAATAATTGCGTGGAAAATTACAATAGTATTGTAGCTAAGTATACAGGTGGTAAACGAGTCAAATTTTCTCTAAGAGGTATAAACATTTTCTTTAATTTTAAATAAAATGCCTATGCATTTTTACAATTATTTGTGTAAATTTATTGTTTTTAATTTTTAGAATCATACCAGACTCGCTGTGCTTCTGTTGTAACTGCATATAACTATGGACCAAGTTATATTAGACACCTCCATAAAAAAGCCACTAACTACAGCCCGGGAATGTAACCAAAAAAAATTTATAAAAAGAATTATCGATTCATGAAATAAATCTACTCAACGGAGATTACTTTTTGGTTAGTTTGCAAGGTTCGTAACTAATTCTTAAACAATTTTGTTAAGCACTTATCTAAACTATAATAATTAACTTCATAGTTCAATTTTTTTTTATAAAATTCAATTAAAAGAAACATTTCACAAGGGCCAGATGAAGGCTATGGAGCCATTCACACTGAGAGTGAAATAATTGATATGCCATGTGATGAATACGAAACAAAAAAAAAAGACGGTTTCTTAGAAAAGTTAAAACTCTTATCTAAGCAGTTACAATTATTAGAACGAAATACAGTGGACCAATCAAAAAGCGATGAATGGTGACGAGAACGAAAAATAAGACTAATGGCATCTAATTTTGGTAAAGTCGCAAAACTCAAAGACACAACTTCTCGTGCAAATGCGGTAAAATATATTCTATATGAGTTGTTTCATGGAAATTCAGCTACAATGTATATTAAATATTAAATTTTTAACTAAAAATCAATTTTGGTAATGATGATTTGTTAATTTTTTTTTTTTTCATTTAGGTATGGCATTCAAAATCAACCGTTAGCCAAAGAAGCTTTGGAAATAAAATTAGGAGTAAACATTCTATCATGTGGTCTGTTTGTTGACAAAAAATCAACATTTTTAGCAGCTAGTCCGGACAGTTTGATTGACAATAATTCTATAATAGAAATTAAATGTCCAGCGTCATTAAAAGATTTTATACCTCTTGAAGCTTTTGAAAATAAAAAGTTAAACTTTATGAATTTTATTGATAGCGAGTTAAAATTAAAAACTTCTCATGATTATTATTATCAAATACAGAGACAATTACATATATCTGAGAGAAAATATTGTTACTTTGTTGTATGGACACCTAAAGGTACTATATAGTTTTATATTATTATTATTTATTTTAGATTTTATAATATTACTTGCTGTCCTGACCCGTGTAGCGAGCGTTGTGCAGGACACTACGATCGGTAACACATTAATTATTTAACGACGTAGCACGTTGAACGTAATCTTGAGACGTGTTGAGAGAGATTGGTAATATTAATTATTGGACACTCTTAATTAAATACTTAGAAAAAGTACTGGTTTATTGATTTAACACTTAGAATAAATACAAAATATTAATAACAGTAAAAACTGGGTAGAGAATTATTATTCGCGGCGATGTGGCTGTTACAATGTCCACAACGAGCAATAATTTATTTAACAGGGGAAATGATCAGTCTAACTACCTATCTACATCTGAATAATGCTAAATGCTCAACCCGTATTTATACAGGTTCCAATGACATAAAAGTGGCCTAATTCTAATATTACTTCCTTTTACTGTCGATTCAGCATTTCTATGTTCATAGGTGGAAACAACTTGTTGTTTTCACCTTTGCCCTGGATTTCCTGCGTTTTAGGTGTATTTATTAAAACTACTTCTTATTTTCACCCTTGCCCTGGGTTTCCTACACGTAGGCACATTTATTAATATTTATACTTAATTAGATTGATGATTAAATTATGCTGAGCCTTGGGCTCACTACACCCGGCGTTGGCCGGTATTTTGTTTGCCAAGGGTGAGTAAAATAATACTTACAATTTAATTATTTTACGCTAGAGATGATTGTTAATAAAATTACAAAAAATGAAGAATTTTGGATGCAAATGTAAAATTTTATATCGAGTGCTTGTTACCTGAATTCATTGACTAACGGTTTGACGGAGGACTTCCTTTAAGGACTGGTTTATAGTAATTTTTTTACTAATGTTTAATATCAGTATAAAAAATAATATTGATGTAAATTACTTATACATTTGTATATATAATTTTTGAGTAATATTAAACATATTTTGTAAAAAAAAATTGAAGTTTTTGCTACCGTCATAATAATATGCTCAAATAAAAAGTTAGAAAAAAAACATACATTATAATAACTGGGGGTTAATTATTACTTCAGACAAAAAAGTCTTTTATAATCGTAAATAAATAGATCCAGTAAGAAAATTGTTTTATATGATACTACGGACGTAAATACGTCAATGTATTTCATTGCCCCACGGTCGATGACTCATATTATGCAAAGAACGTTCGGGATGATTGATTAGAATCAGCGAAAAAACTAAAAACCGTTTATTATATTATTGTTTTTATTGACATCAATGAATTGTTCTGGCCGCCTGGCCGCCCCCCGCGGGTGCTAACGGGAGAGTGTAAAGGGCCTCATATACTACTGTAATGATGTGCATCATTCGACTGTTAAAGACGGCACAAATATTTT